TGCTGTACGCTAATAACATCCCTTCTACCTTTGTTCTGGAAGTACAGGAACAATATTCATCATTAGTCTGTTACTTCCTCACTGCGGCGTCGTTCTCCGCTGAAGGCGGACGCTTTGCCTCCCGCCGGCCGCAAAATGAGATTATGGCTCAATCCGCGGGAGGAAATGTGTTGACTGCTCCTCACACTCACATACAGCACACAGCGGGCCTTCAGTGTCGAACAAACCGCTGATAGAGACTAAAACACACACACACCTCCCAAAGATACACTTGTAAAGAGCATCATCAACATAATGTTAACAGCAGTCACACAGTCGTGACTCTGTTGAAACAGCTTCTCTGCAGGCTGAAAGCAGCTGATGGGAGATACAAGAACCCACCGTTCACTGCAGCAGCGTTAAAGGACAGAGGCTCACATCACAACTCTTCTGCTCGTAGATGAATCATATCGGGGTACAAAATGTTACCTTTGTCCTGAGGGCAGTGCAGGGGACCCTTTGTTGTCTGTACGGTGGCCTTATTAGGACATCTGAGCCTGACCTGTTGTAAACAGGTGGTGCAGTACGTAACCCTTTCCTTCTGCAGTGGAATCAGGTTTACAGTAAAGAGTCTTAATTTACTCTGAATAAAATGATCTTGTATAAACGATGAACTCCACAGAGAGGGCAGGAATCCTGTCTTCCTCTCTTTATTCCTCTCTGCCTTCCATCCAACAGTTTAACATGTCACCTTTCTCAACCTCTTTCTAAGAACTCTGAACACATTCCTACGAGGATGTTTGGCTCCAAGGACGCAGTGCTGTTTGTACTCCGATACAAAGCCCACATGAGGAAGCGTCCACCTGATGCCTCCACATTATGTTCACACCGGAGGAGCAGTTTGCTTCCGGACGATAAATAAATAAAAGGATGTGATTGGATAATGCGAGGCTGTGAATGCTCATTGACTCTGCACCTGGACCGAGCGCTCCCCGCAGGTGCATCACAATGACGGTGATGATGATTGGTTGTGTCCCGCCGTGCGGACACACACAGCTCATAATGATGCAACAACAGATTAATCCACACTGAGCAAACCGAGAGCTTCAAATCTCTGATACTAACAAGAAATGTTTTCAGACGACATTAATGAATAAAAACCCCAAATAGTCGAGTTAACCGCTGAGAAGAGTCTCAGTGACACTTTACATCAATCTGATAGTCTGAGAGAAACCAAACATTAAACTGTGTTCAGGAGCTAAGTATCAGAGGACTGTTGCAACAGGGACCTTTTCTCTTGTAACACAGAAAGTCTCTGGTCGCTGCACTGCTGCATATGCTAAC